GTTGGGTGGGGTCAGTAAAAAAAAAATTATAATCAACGATAAATTAATTGTTTATTAGAAATAAATACAGAGATAATAAAATAAATAAATAAAAAGCAGAGGAATTGAAATGAATTTTTTTCTTTAGAATCGGTTCTAGACTTTTTTTTTATCTCCAGATCCATTGGGTGGGGTCAGTAATAAAAAAAAATTGTAATCAACGATAAATTAATTGTTTATTAGAAATAAATACAGAGATAATAAAATAAATAAATAAAAAGCAGAGGAATAGCCCCATCTAATGGATCTCGAGTGATTCAGTGGTCCAATGACTCGGTCAAATAAAAAAGTGAAAAATCTTTGATTAATTTAGTTTTCAACATTAATTATTGCAATTAATGAAAATTTATTTCACGGAGTTTGACGGCATAAATTTGCGTACAAAATGCGGCTACATGTTGCTGGTCATCCCTTCCCTCTTGAGCCAAATGGTTATTCGTTGATCAAAAATCGTATTACTTATTTATTAGGGTTCCGTACCCGGGTGGTCCTGCGACATGACGGAATCGATTACGCGTCCTGCGCCATTTGGACGACGAATTCGAAGAACTTGTTCAGGATTAATTCAAGAGAAAACCAAGTTGAGACATAAGAACCTGAGGGGAGTGGGAAAAATTTGGGGAATACACAATTTTTAAATCTCAATTATTAAATTCTACCGAGGACTTACCCCATCAGCAATTGTTCACATCCATCCCCTACGAAGCAAAATATAAAAAATATATTGCGGATATCAAATCATATTTCTACTCTAATTCTGACTCAAGGGCTTCATATTTTTCTTTTATGAATTTTAAAAGAATATTTCTCCATTTTGTATAAATTAATTGCAATAAAAAATGGGAAATATGGAATATACATAATATTATTATACAGGGTGTTAATATTAGATTTTATTTTGAAATGTGTTTATAAAAATGATAATTTCATTTGAAAAAATTTTTTTTGAATAAATTTCATTTGGAAAAATTTCCAATGAAAAAAATTTTTAAGACGGGCTCATGAGTGCTCGTTATGAAAGTAGAAATACGAGAGTGAAGTTCGTCCGAGTCGAAATATCTCGAAAGTCTTCATTGGTCAACTCGACCCGCCAAATTCAAATTCGGCGCACGGAGTGCGCAGTAGGTTTCGTAATAAATAAAAACACATGATTACAATTGGTATGTACAGTTTATTCTGGGATTAATATAGATAATTCTCATGATAATCGGGGGTCGGTAAAGAGTGGGAGAATTTCCTTCACAATTTGTTACGTTTAGATATCATTACAATATTTCCAAGTGTTCTTCCAAGACGAAAACCAAAAATTTCCACGTTTTCCATTTTGAACTGAAGAAAAATTGAAAACAAAATGGGGGCATTAGCGGGAGAGGGGCGGAGGGGGTGGAGTCTATTCTCGTCCCCTGCCTCACAATAGCATCCGCATTAATTACACATTTGCAATCGGTTAATCAATAAATTCTGCATTATTTCATTCATCTGTTTAATTATTCTCCTATTATTTTGTCTTTTTTTTTTTCATTTTATAAACGGTGAATCGTGTGCGTGAGTGAACTAGTGGTTGCCGGATGAACCATGAAATTTAATCATTAAAAAATCTCATTCGTTTATATATTTCGATAGTTACATCCGGCATTTAGGAAGTCTCTGTAGTAACCAGCGGTAAAACGTATCACAAGTATGTAGCATCCATCAGTTTTTCATCAAATCGGTTAATTAATATTAAAAATATGAAATCCAAAAAGTGTTCATTAAATCCTCAGTCTCCCAAAACGTCAACTGAACAACTTGAAAAATAATAAATAAAACCGGAAGTAAAAATTATTGTGTCTGTATATTACATATATATTGTACAATCTGCTCGATAAAAATATATTATTCCATTATTTGGTCCCTGTAACGAATTAATTCACACCAGGGATTGGCTATTTCGTTTATTAATTGTTTAATAAGGGAGAATATTAAAATTTTTGAGGTTAGGAAGACAGTCACTCTTTTTGGCGGGTTTTTTTCTAAATTCCACCAGCGCCACTCGATATCCCGGGAAATTCAAACACGAATTGAAAAAACAAAATTTATTTTTTTCAATTTCGAAAATTAGCCGATCTATCGAGTGAAGGGACTACCTCATTTAATGAACACTTTTTTTCTCGATAACCGATTGTTTTTAAAGTATCATTTAATATTGTTAATGTGTGGCCATATTATTTTCAAAAAACACATCGGCCGCAATCTGTTAATTATTGCTCTGTTTGTTTCACATTTTGTTTAATTACGGTTTTTTATGTATATCAAATATTATAAACTGTAATACAATGTAAACCTGTAAAAAATATAGTGGGTGGCGGCGGTTCTCTGTTTCTTTCATTTATAATATAATAAGTAGTTTTTTTTTTATCATAATTGTTTGTCTTGTTTTTTTATGGTACACGGTAATTAGTATAAATATATTCGTATATTATATTTCTGCGGTTGAGGGTTGGGGTGGGGAAGGGGCATTATTTCATACTTCGGTTTGAGTACAAATTGTTATTTGTCTTTGTTATCTGAGAAATAAACAAATTGGGGGGCATTTTTGGATGCAATTTGTGAGGCAGAGGCGAATTTAGGAACTACGTGAACGGCACAACCGATGCTAGTTATTATTTCTCACGCATTTGTTCTTCTTCGTCGTATTTTTTGTTTTTTTCAATTTTGGGATTTTTTTTTCAACGATAAATTATGAAAATTGTCATTCATCATCCGTAATCAAGACAGAAATTTCCACTGGCCATTGGTTTTCACCTGATGGCAATTGAAATTACGTCAGTAGATAATGTCGAGAGTGATCATTTCATTTATCGACTGTCGACAAGACCGAAGATTCAGTAAATTACAAATAAACAATAAACAAAGTGAAAAAAATTGCATTTTTATAAAATTACACCTCATTTTCTTCAATTAACAGATTTCACAATGAAAAAAAAATAAATCCATTGATTGAAGAAAAAAAATATTCTCATAAATTCAATTTAGCTATTTCTCTCCTCCAAATAAAGGTTGTATCCGAATAAACAATCGCCATTATGTTTTTCTCCACAGCAATAATTAGATAAATAGATATTCATATATATGACGCATAAATATAATCAATTGCGCGTACCGTTTTTTTATCTTCAACTCTTCTCTCTTATCTCATCACGTTCATTTATTTACAAGTTGTTGGTTTACTGTGCGTAAGAATAATTAACTAATTATCTTAAAAACTTACAAACAAACGTCTCTCTTTCGCACTTTAAACAAGGATTATAAAATCATAAACAATTGTAATAATAGCACGGCGGTAAATATTATCGGTATTTGTCAACGAGCAAGAATAATACTTTGTTCGGAGTGTCTTCTGTTTTTTTTTCCATTAATTTTCTTTGTTTATAATTCTATTATCTTTAATTCAGCGTTTTTTTATTAGGAACTTAGGATGCGGTCAGAACTCAAAGCCCTTTGTATTGTTACTCTATCATTTCGTTATTGTTTATCTGGCAACGAGTGTCGACCCAATTCTTATTGTAATAAAAGAACACTGGATTTTCATTGTTTCAGGTGAACAATTGGAACAATTGTTTCAGTTCATTATTTTTTCTGGCGATATCTTGGGTGATTGTGAATATGCAATTTTTTTCTTACGGTGAATTTTGAATTTTCACAATCGGTCAATTAGTTCCTGAAATTCGGAAGATTCTAGCTTTGAACAATCCTCTCTTTGTTTGCACAATGATTATTGTTTCGTTAGATATCTCCGGAATGGGTGAGTCGATTTCAACGATCGACCAGTCATTTTAAAGAACCGGCGATCTTCTTGAAAAGTTCAGAAAAATTGGAATTTTACCGCGCCATTCTCGAGATATTGGACTTTTCATGTGTTAAACAAACTTCATTCACACCTAACCTGAAAATCGGAAGATTGTTTCCGTCAATATCTCGAAAACTGCACGATCAATTCCACTCAAAAAAAATTCGCAGTCGAATCGATGATTAATCGAAGTTCGTCGATAATCGACAGACGTACAGTACCACCTCGAACAATGAAAATCCCGTAAAAATCTGTCAACTAACACATTGTATATTGTTATCTTAGCGTTGTTCAGCCTTAAAAATTTATGAAAAAAAAATGAACATGAGAAAAATTTTGAAACAGATGCCACAAAGATGCTTATAGCTTCAAAAAATATTCAAAGAAAGAAAATCAATCGAAATATTCAACAAATAAGTTTATCCAGTTCCATCGATAAATTGATATGTCAGCAACGAGATTTAACAATACAGCAATCATACGATATGGTAGCTAATTACCGGCAGCCATTAATGTTCATTTTTTTTTTATTCTCTTTGTAGTCAGTCATATCGAGTTGATGCATAGAAAAAACTTTCGAATACAACCTTTCCCTGTCTCTCAGTACTTGCTGTGGTCATCATTATCATCAACAGTGAAAATCTTTAGGGCTTTTACCTCGGCCCCCGGTCGCACGAAAATTGTTTATTTCCTTTTATCAATTTATTTAAAATTTCTAACACTCGACTTTTGCTCCATCACACGCACTCGCACTTTTACAATTAATAAAGTAATCAATCGCACCTCTACTTACAATTCTACACGTGTCAATGTTTTTCATCATCATTAATTATTTTTAATTTGTTTATGAATTACGGAACGACGTGCGTCCGGCGCCACGAGGATGAAATTATTGGTGAAATTAAAAAATTCCCGAGATTATATGAAAGAAAATTATTTTCAAGTTTTCCCCGGGATTTTTTTTTTATTCTCTGTGGTCGTAATTATTCTTTTATAAATCTAAGGGTTTCATTTTCCCTTACTCACACTCTCACTTTATATAACAACGAAACAGGCATTAAGATTCTTTTTTTGTTTAATGTCTACCTAACGTATTAATGATTTTCACCATCACTTGTTTCATTATTATTGGTTTATTATTATTTTTTTTTTTTCATTTTTTTAAATTCATTTCCCCATTCGTTTTAACTGCAAAATAATACTGAAGTCCGCACATGGTGCCTATCACAATATGTGTGTCTAGTTTATGGTGAAAAATCTCCATTGAGTTTGATTGCGAGATTTTTCGCGTTCATTTTCGAGATTTTTTTTTTTTTTTTTGTTATCATTCACACATTTTGAAACGCAGTTCGGAGTGAAGTAAATAAATTTTTCTTTAGGTGGAGAGTCGTTGGAGAATTGATTTTTTTTCAGGGTTACAAGGTCAACAGAACGGCCCACCATATTGTTCATCAATTGCACAAAATTGTTCTAACCTAGGAACAAAACAAAATGGCAGTCAATAGCATTTCAAAATTTCCCTTCCAAATTTTCCACTGATTTAATCGCTTACACCTCTCCAAAAACTTCCCAAAAAACCAAATACTAAATTCCCCTCACCATCCGCCATTTTGTCGACATTGCCCTCAAAATGGCGTCACCACTTTCCAGCGAGTCGCCCTAATGAGCGCCTGAAAAAAAAATTCTCCAACTCTTCCCCAGATTGCCGAAAACCCATTTTTCAATCACCCAGTTCACACAATAATTCCATTAATTAATAATCAATAATATCAGTTTGTATTGTACAGGCCCAACCCCCCAATGGCTCCCGAGAAAGCCTGTCACCTCACATATTCCTCCCAACCCTCGAATTTTTATTGTTTCATGCCCTGACATCTCCCCACCCCCCAGTACCAACCCTCTCGAACGAAAAAAAAAGAAAACGTAGTGTTTACTCTGCCCAATAATTTATGAATTACGTTTCTCTGTTTAATAAGTTTTTTTTTTATTTCCTCTTTCAATATGCAATTTGTTTTCTTTCACATTCTCAATTTTTAGCTATCGTAGATTTGTCTGTGGCTATCCCTGATGTGTTATTTACCCTGCGCTTCCGTCTGGTTGTCGAAATAATGGTATTATTTATCATTTTTTACTTTTTATAATTCATTTATTATTTTTTAAAATTATTTAGTCGTCAAACTGTGGTCTACGATTTTGTAATTAAATTGTCCATTAATTAACCTCATTTTCACATTTTTTAATTACTCATTAAAGCGATTTCGCGTTTTCGATTTTTTTTTATCATCATTATTTGGTATATTTATCCTTCATTTATTATCCGTCGAGAGAAAAATCATAATTAAAATGTTTTCTACTTCTTTGGAAAAATTCCACTCCAAATAATTTGTTTCTTCACCTTTTTAAAATGCATGAATTATTTTTTACACAAAAGATGTCCAGTAAAATTATGCAAAAATTATTTACAAAATTGAACAAAAAGAAAAAAAAAAGAAAAATTAAATACTTTTTTACATTGCAGCGATTATTGCACTTGACCCTCTTCGTGCTAATTCTCGCGGGAAATATCGTTTTAATTTAAATTTTCTCATATTTTGTTTTCTCATTTCAACTTTTGCCGTCGAAAAAATGAATGAGAAGTGAGTAAAAATCATGTCATGGGGTGCGTTTTTCCTTCCATTTTTCATTCAACGAAATTCTTAAGCATTGTACGACCCACCCTCACCCCTTTTCAAGAAGTTCCCTTTCAATTTAACCGTTTGCATCTCCCGTAGCGGAGAAAAAAAACGCTAAAGAAGGTGAAAAAAAAAAATGAGTGAAAAAAAAAATATTCTTAAAAGGAGAGAGTCATCTTGTTTTCCTTCCGGGTTTCCTTTCTTGTGCGCTGATCCACCGTAAGAATGTGAAGGATACATTATTTCTCCTATTCACAGTAAGAGAAATGAAGAAAAAAAAAAGTTTTCAAATAAACGAAAGAGAACAAAATAAACTCCATCTTTGATGTTAGAACGAGAGAAACTGGCTTTGTTATTCGGTATGTTTGGTATCTCCCATAAAAAAAAAATGAAAATAAAACAAAACGTTCCGATAATAATAGCACTGATATATCGTTATTACACTCCGTGAAAGTGGAAAAAGTATCCTGCGGTGTTCGGTGCACCGTAGAAAATCCCGTCGATGTAACTCAAATGTCAGACCCGTCTCAATCGATAGCCAAGAAAATTTCCGATCTCAACCTCAGCATTTGACTCAATTCCCCCGAAAACACTCATTAAAACCCAAAATTTTCAAAACTCCCGCAAAAAAAAATCGGGGATTCCCCAAATACTCTCACTGCAGAGCACCCCTCATAGCCTAATCCAAAGATATCCGATTGAAATCCTCCCCGTCATTTTTTCGAAATGGCCAGCAAAAGTAATCGAGAAAGTCAGTCTTAGATCCAAAAAACACTCAACCCCTCCAATAATACAAAAACATGGACGTCGACAATTACAAATAAAGATAATCCCTCATGGCCCTCAGCCTATCTCATTCCGATCCATTCTGCTGCAGTAACGCCGGTGCTGATTGCGGTGGTTGAATACTGTCATGACTCGGCGATGGTGACCGACTCTGTTGTCCAAGATCACTGTTACCACCTGCACTACCCCCCACCCCCTCCAAAGCTTTTTGCTCACTAGGTGGTAAAAGATGTACCATGCTAACAGGAACCGGAAATGCAGCGCCAAAATCAGGGAAAAAACCCTGTGGTAAATTACCACCAACGATAGGATGATGCCCATACGACTCATCACCGGGATGTGGCATACCAAGTGGATGACCCATCTGTGACGGTGGCTGAATGGCCTTGACATTGTTATTCAACGAGTTCATAACTTCACCAGATGCACCAGTGCAGTCTCTCCTGAGTTGCTCGAGCTTGAGACTCTTTCCATACTTTCCCCTGACATACATGAGAAGACTGTTGTACGGTATGCCAAACAGCCGACTAGCCTGCGACGTTGTCATCTTCTTGTTCCAAACGTGCTGAAGTGCTTCCGTAAGCTCAGCATTTGTCCAAGATCTAGGTGGTCCACCCCTCGGTGCACTGTGCTGTCCTTTGGGCCTACCAATGGGCATACCCCTACCGTGCTCAGACCATCTTCTGGCCGATTCACCATCACCCCTGTGCTTCTTTGGTTTTTTGGTAATGTGTTGAGCCGAATTACCACCGAACAATCCCTGAAAGGCTTCCGGCTTGAAGCTATCGTGCAAATCCGTGAGTAATGTACCTCTATCCATACCACCACCGTGTGGAAACAGTCCGCCACTAGCCAATGGTGATACACCATCCATGGGGAATACAGCGACAGATCTTCTTGTGAGTGTCAGTAGCTCCTGATGATAGGGATTGCGATTGTGTCCCTGGGGACTGCCATCGCGATGATGCGCCATTTGGCTCTGATGATTTGGCAGCCACTGTGCGGCAAATTGGCCGAGTGATGTCAGGTACTCGCTTGGATGGTGGGGTGGTGTCAGTGACAGTGACATTGATGGTAAACCCGGTGCGGGTAAATCCTGGAGTGAGCCATCAGGATGGAGACTCGTACCAGTTAGGGGTGATCCACGTGGACTGCTCGCTGCTTCACTCTCAGTCTTGATGCCGTGCTCAGAGGGTAAACCCGGTGATAACGAACGCTTCATCGATAGATTCTCAGCTGTCTCTTCTCGATTTGTCGGCGTTGATGATGAATTTGGTTGGGTTGGGGTGCACGGTGGTTGGGGTGGACCCGATTGTGATTGACCTGGTGTTTGACTGGCCGTTGGTTGACTTGGATTAACGGGAAGTGCACCAGTCAAATTGAGACCACTAGGTGGTGGGCTAAGACTCGCTGGTGGATGGGGTCGGGAGAGATCCTGGGGTATTAACTCACCGGATCTTCGTCGAGGTCGTGCCTGCTTTCGTCTAGGTAGAAGTGGTGAATTGCAGGACTCCCTCAGATCTCGGAGGGAGAAATTCAGGTGGCCCATGTGCGGTAGACGATCGCGTTCCCTCGGATACATCGTTCGAGACTCGCGTTGAACAGAATCGATATCTGGATCGTTGTCAGCTTCCGGGCTCAATCGATCACCCAGATCTGTTGGTGTTTCCACTGGTGTATCTGGTGGTGATGCAGGCCGGGGCTCTGACGACGCTAGACCACGCACCTGAAGACTCTCAGCAGCTCGCATCAGACCGGGCAGCTCTTCACGGCCTACCCTCACTTCACCCCGGTACATGAAGTCAATCAGGGCGGCAACCTCACGACCTGGAAAGTCCTTCAGGACTATCACCGGGTGCTTGCACGGGTGCTCAGCGAATATCCTCTCGAAGAAAGGACTGAAAGCAGACAAATTTCAATGATCAGATATTTTCAACAATATTTATTTCGTATCACATGTGCTTGATCATTTTTTTTCGTTGGATAATTTCGATTATCCTGATTATCCTGATTATCCTGATTACTATAATTTGCTAAACTTATTTTTTATTTACCTGCAGGCACTGAGGACGACCTTGTGCGCCCTGATACTGCTGTCTGAGCACACGAGAGTGACATCGACGAGTATTTCAGCATGCAGAAGTGCTTCAAATGCCTGTAGTATGTGTGTCTGATGATTGTTCCATCGCAGTGAATAATGTGACTGCAGTGCCATACCACCGTCGGGACTCTCCGCGGTGCTCGACATCTTTTTGACTTATTTACACCCGTCGAAGCCACCTTGTTTTATTAAACGTATTATTTACACGTTTAATACGCCTCTTCGATGAATTATCTATCATCGGTCACGATGTGTCTGAAATCAGAGTAAAATTCCATTTTTTATTTATTTATTATCTACGACTCCGGCTATTTAGCACGGAACTGCAATGCTCTAAAGTACTTGTGATGTACATTGTATTAAACTGAGGGGAAGATGTAAAAAATCCGAGACACATACACCCCAGTGGAAAGCGCCTCGGGCACTCTGAAATCGCATCACCATTTTCGTCCGGTATTAGGCAGGTTTGCCTGATCGGGTGATGCCTGATGAGAAACTTATCGAATTTTTATTTAATACAAATAAAAAAACAAATTCGAAATCACTCGAATTTCGGAGAAACTTGGAAGACATGAGGAAGATGAGGAACAAGTCATTTTTAGGATATATGGTATGGTATGAAACGTCAGTGGATGTATCGGTCATATTTACCGATTCATTTATTTTTTTGAAAATGGAAATTTCTTCGATTCGGTTGTTTAATTTATTATCAATTAAATTGGGAGATAAAAAAGAGAGAAAATTGGAATAATGCAGGTGATATGGAGTGGAAGTGACTAGAAGTTCACGAATAGAAATTATTTCCCTCAAATATCACTTTCCGGAAGTTAAGGGGGTGAAAATCATAGACACCGGAAAATTGATGATCTAATTCACGACTCGCGAATTGATTTGTATCAATTAAAACTGGAGATAATGAAAAATGGAAAAATAACAGGGATTTGTGCTCATTAATTTTGCTGTGTATAATTACGGGTTAATGAGGAATAAAATGGAGTGAATGGAGTTGCCGGTATCGGAAAATTTTCTGGTTTTTGAAATCGATAGCGGGTTTATTCAAATTTTCAATTCAATTGGTGAAAACCGTCGGTTTCAGCTCTCGGAATCCCGAGAACGAGAAATCCGCGATCTCGCGCTTTTGTCACACGATTTTTAATCGGCATTCCGTTAATTGGCGATTGAAAATTAATCATAAGGTCGCACTTTTCAACCGCAAATTTAACAAGCATAAATTACAACCCTAGACCCAACGTTTCACCTAGAATCTCACCTCCTCACACACCTGACGATCCGAGTTAAATACACCGACTTAGGCAATCTCTCATTTACGCTCGTAATTAATGACTTCATTAACTAATTTTCCTCGCGCACTTCAGGTTTTCGTCATTCGACGAATCGTTCCGCGATCGCTCGACGCTGACTAAAATCGACGGACGAATCAATCAATCAAACTACCAATTAACCGTTCAATTGAAATGTAACTAAAATTAACAAGTAATTAATACCCAATTTGGAGAGAAAAAGGGAACGGATTCATGACTCAATCATTCATTATTTTCATTCATTGCTAATGAGGAAAAAATCACTCGCGATTCATTATCGATTCATATTTTAAATTAAAATATTCCGATTAATGAATTGTTAGATTTTAATTATATTTCATTGAATGATAATTTTTTTATTCTGCCTCTTATGTTGGATCGAATTAACCACCGATTTAAATTAAAATCAATAACCCAAATTGCCTTCTGCTGTTAAAACCTTTATTCTCATTAAAAAAATATAAATCTTGTCTCATACAATCGGCTGGAGTGGGAAGGAAGAAATAATCCCCGGATTTTTCCCTTTGGTTACCGGAAAATAAAGGGATTGATCAAGTTTTCCATAAAAATTATTCAATCGAAATAACTTGACATGTTCATTAGTTCGCAACGGACATATGGGGAAGATCCGATAATTTGAAAGCTCTTCTATTTGCGATTATTCCTTCGGAATTTTGAGGTCGCGGGCTAATTTTTCTCTATATCACATGTCGCTGAGGTGAAGGAGAGTTTTAGGGATCGTATTTACTTTTATTTGAATTGTACGACTCATACATTCAGGTGTATTATAATCTACTGGGCTCTAACAACACGAACACGTCACTGTGCGCAACGAAAACTGGAGAACAACTTTGTTGTCAAACTCACACGTGCCGGCGCGTGATGAAAAAAAAAGAGATATTACCGGGGGAAAAATATTGGAGCGAAACACAAGGTTTTGTACATGATATTGTGTTGATATTCATCCTGTGTTGTCTTTCAACTTTTCGCTTCTTTTTCTGAGAATGACGTGACGAGTGTGTGGCAGGTATGTGGGGGCCGGAATAAATTTTTTTTCCCCTTTTAATTCCATCTTTTTGTTAATTCCATACAACATTCGCTATTCAGGAAAGCAATCGGAAAATATTTCTGCAAATTATTCCTGCAAATGTAATGAAAATGCTTTTGATAGAGAAAAAATCGCGGAAATCGGTTTTCATTTTTCCCCCCGGTTTTTTTTAGCCTCGAATTTTTGGCGGAAATTGTCTACTTTTTTTTGGGGGAGTGATTTTTTTATTGTCGAGGGGCGATGGGTTTTTTCATAATTTTTTGGGGGGTGAGTGGGGGTTAATTGGGGGTTTGAAAATTTTTTGGAACTCTCGTTGTTCACTTCACCGTCACTCGGGGATGATAAACGTCAGTGATACACACACGTACCCAAAAAATAAAATAAAATTGTAAAATCACCGAGTGACTCGCCCCCCTCCCTCTCCACCTCGTCTATGTTTTTCTGCACGCGATGGACAAATTTATTTTTCTCGTTTATCAACTCGAAGACTCGTGACTTGCGGCGTCGCGCCACGACCGTCGGGGATCGATCAAACTCGGTATTAATTGCGTCCCCAAACTGAAAACAAACATCAACCAAAAAATCACCGTATCCCATCCCCCCAAAACCGCCCCCGCACTAAAATACATTTTTTTAAATCCACATACCACAGCTATCAGTCACCGTTCCTGTAGTTCCCGCGTGGCAAACTTTTCGCGCCACACAAAATTCACCAGCTGACAGCCGTTCTCCACTCAAAATCCCCCGTCACCCCGCGAAAATCCCCCAAAGATCATGCGGCACACAAAAAAAAAAGCGCGCCAAAAAAAAAAAATATCACAAACTCAAGAAAAAAAAAAATCACTACACACACCTCAGCACACGTTCTCTACAATTTAAATTTCCAAAGTCACACCTCCAAAAATCGCCCACTGTAGTCCTCCCCCCCACCCCCGCAAATTTTCAAAAACTCCCGAAATGTTTCGCACTAGTCGCCACACAATATTGCACCACAGCCCCAAAAAAAATTCCTAGAAACCACTGAAAAATTCCCCAGAACGTCACATGAGTGTGAACATGAGTCGGGGGGTTGGCGCACTGAACTGAAAATATTGCCCCCGAAATGGGGGGGGGAGAAAAATAATCGGGTGAAAAAAGTGACGTAAACCCCCGGTGGGACCTCGAGTTGTTGCTCGTGCGATTGAAACGTGTGTTCTGAGGTGGGGGGATATTATGGTTTTGGAAACGAGACGGCGTCGGCGACTGCCGATGAGTGAATGCGCTGTGACGTTAGGCGCCCCACCTAATACCCCCCAGGTTGTACTGTACTTCCCTTTCCCATACACACACGTACGCATCCCCACCCAAGAGATCACCACACGTTTTTGTGTGTGTGTCCATGTGCCTCGGAAACTCACTTTCTATCTTCCACATTCACATTACCCCCCCAACAAGTCGCTTTCTCACTCCACCTGCCCACACGAGTGTGACTATGTACTCGGCCTCCTTAACCCCGCCCCCCTGTCCACCCATTTTAGCCACCCAAACCAACCCACCCACCCACCCACTTGGAGAACTCGACGAGCAGTTGATTCTTACGGGCTATTTTTTTTTATTCTCCATCGCTACCGAATTTTCGCGGGTTTTATCATCATTTCGGAGGGGGTTGGGGACAGGGGGCTGGGTCATGGAGGCTGGGCTTTCAGCCCCCCGGGGAGGGGGCAAGTTTACGAAGAATTTCGATGGTTTTTGGGGGCGCTATTTTTTGCAGAACGTACAGGGACCGGGCCGGAATTTTGAATTTTTTTTATTACAGGGGATTGGTTTTGGGGGTTTTTTAAAAATATGAATTTCGAGGACTGGGGGGTACAGGTGATTTTATTTTTCTGGGGAAATTGTTTTTTCAGGTTTTCTTGGGAAGAAATTGAAGACTTGAAGATGGATGATTTAGTTATAAAATATATCATGGGCTCATGGAAAATTTATGTGAAGTTTCAGAGGCTGGAATGAAATTTCCTTCATGTGCCAGGTTCAAATTTCGTTTCTATTTTTCCGAGTAGAAACATTGAACATTTTTGACGGTTCGAATATTCGTGAGTGACTACTGGAATTCGGCAATGGTTCCAGCCTCCTCCAAAAACAAATATAAAATCTCCGGCTGAATAAAACCGCAAAAAAACGAATTTCCCCCGCGACCATTAAATCCACACCGCAATTTCCGCGCCCGCCAAAATTCCCCAATTGTTCAAATGAAAAAAATTTCCCCTCCCAGACTAAAAAAAAAAAAAAACCACAAAAATAAAGTCATCCCTACCTTGACCTGCGCTCCGACGATCACCAGTTTTCTCTCACTTTCACAAAAATTCTCACAATTTCCCACACAATTTTTTTGGCACTGAAAATCACTTGGCTTGGGTCAATGAAGGGCACCGGGTTTCCTCCACGTGTGATCCGGAGCTTGACCAGTATCCCCCTGGTACCACTTGGTCCCCCGGGTCTCCATGCACCACAGAACTCCACCAAAATCCACAAGAATCACCAATTAACCGAAGAATCCTGCACCACTGAATATTCAAAGTTTCGCGCGCACACACGATTTTTCAAAATGATAAACAATTATTGGGTGTATGTACAGTTGGATGCGGCTGACTCCTAGTGCGGTCGCGTTATGACTGCCCTTCGCAACCGATTCGGCTTTGCCCGGTGGTTACCAATGTTGAGGAGAAAGAGACGAAGGAGTCCCACCTCCTTTGGCCACCTCCATCCCTGGGTACCAGCCCACTCGGACCCCCCCTCCCCTTTCTTTCTCACTCAGTTGTACAGCATTTCCACGTACAGTATATTCCTCGGACGGCTACGGTCTCCTCTCCTCTGATCAGAGCCCATCTTCCCCCTCCTCCACGTGGATCGTCAGGTTTTCCCGGTAATGTCGCATGTCAAGGGTGTTTACATCGCATGTCGTGTAATCTGTCGATTAAAAATTCCAGGAAAATGTTCTTTATAAGATTTTCCTTTTGGCATCGATTGGCTGAATGTGTAATGTCGGTGTCAGGATTTTCCGGTAATGTCGCATGTCGTGTAATCTGTCGATTAAAAATTCCAGAAAAATGTTCTTCATAAGATTTTCCTTTGGCCACCGATTGCCTGAATGTGTAATGTCGGTGCCAGGATTTTCCGGTAATGTCGCATGTCGTGTAATCTGTCGATTAAAAATTCCAGAAAAATGTTTTTCATGAGATTTTCTTTTGGCCACCGATTGCCTGCATGTGTAATGTCGGTGCCAGGATTTTCCGGTAATGTCGCATGTCGTGTAATCTGTCGATTAAAAATTCCAGGGAAATGTAAAATAAAATTCATTGATCCACGATTTCAAGAAAATCCTTGCCAAATATATATCTCGTGCTTTGAACTGTGTCTGGGCGATATTTTATGTCAGATCAGGTGGCCAATAACTTTTCCCGGAAAATTCAATGTCGCATGTCGGAGAAAAGGCAAAATTCACACCGGATGTCGAACGATTTATTGTTGGAAAATTCGCAGAAAATTTTGACCAGTGAAATTAGGAGGAGGAGGGGCAGCAGTAATGGGCGGATTGTTGAGGGATATTGCAGGTTCCAACATGTTTTCCACGACATCAATCGGCGGAAAATTCGGTGAAAACCTTGCATGACTGGCGAGACAAACAAACACCACGCGTTCTTACAAGATAACTATAATATCCAACTTCCGATTCATCCGAATTAATAGTTAATTATCTCCAGTAGTCTGCACTCATTCAATTCGAAAATAGCTCTATTCAGAATATTTCCTACAGACAGGCCCTTTAGTCTTTCAGCCATCAATACAAATCCCCACTCAATGCTCAACAATTGCATTTCAAGATATAAATATTTTGTTCCTTTCATCCCGATATGATTGTTCTATCGAGATATATTCTGACGTACCAAATTGTTTTTGTCATGATAAAATTTTTCATGACAATAAAAAATAAAATGAATGCGTGAAGAATAAATTGAAATAAAATGATAAAAATAAAAATAAAAATAGAAATAAAAATAATAGAAAATAAATCTGATGCGTAGATGAGAGATGTAGAGTTAGCCTGACGCATACCTCCGGGTATGACTCATTGAATAGTTAAAGTAAGTATGATGAGAGGGGAGGGTGAGTATTAGGGTATCCAGGTACACCTGTCCCGTCTCCGGCACCTGTACCCTTGCCCCCGAAAACTCATACCCTCACCCCGGTAGTAAAATTTAACCTGACAACAAGGAGACACGAGGAAGGTGTCCCCCCAGGTGGTCCCACAATAACCATATATACCCTGTCCCGTTTTTGTGAGGCCCCGGGCCCAGTTTCCACGACCTCAAAACGCCTTGAGACCCCCTCAGGCTAATCTACCCCACCTTTTTTTTTTTCTCTCTCCTCATGCAGTGACAAATTCTACCTTCCCAGGGACACGTTAATTATTTACTTATAATTAAATTTTATTGCACTTCACGTTTGGCCGATTTATTGGCTGTCGGGAGGCCATTTTGGATATGGCGGAGGGATTTTATGAAGGGGTGTGTGATGCTCGAGATATTCTTTTCCGATTTTTCCGCTTTTTTTTTCTGGCGAATGGACGCGTCGGAAGCGGAAAGCCGTCAATGCCATTTTTGGGCATGTACGTTTGTCTTTATCTATATGTATTTGGGTATATAGGAAGATGATAATAAGAAGAATAACCGATGTGTAATAAAGATTGGCGAATATTCGTACTCCCCACGCGCAAAAATTACGAATTTATCTTAAAATTTGATATAATATTCAATTCTTCAATAATAAAATATAATTAAACATTTTTATTTATACATAATTACGATAGGATTATCATTATTAACATCTATAGTCTCGATGACTTGCAGAAATAATATTCATGAAAATACTGACTTCTCCTAATTAAATAATAAATCAATCAATCAATTGGCGATTTTATTTTATTAAATTATTGTACAATTTTTATTAAATTATTTTCTAGTGTAAATTTACTTGGCATAAGTAATATTTTTTTTCGAGGGTCCGGAATGTCCCAGTGACTACCTGGGGATGTGGAAAAACAATGAACGAGAAATGTATGGGATAAACTCATGCAGATGTTGAATTGGTGACGGGCAGGGGTTATGTTCGGAAAGATATGCAAATGGCTGACTATGCCATGTTGCCACGTATCATTCCTTGATGGTGGGAAATGGCTCTCAAATTTAAACCCCTGAATAATTGATATTTCGGTTACTCATCTTGGGAATCTCGGCTTCATCCAGAGAAATACACGGGGATAATTACTCCGTACAATATTTATAATCCAAATCTTTATGACCGGGATATCATTTTTTTTTTTGCGGAATTATATCTTAAATATATCCAACTTATATTTTAATATATTGATAATATATTGATGCAGGGGGTGGGATATATCTGCCGGGGTAATATATAATCGAAATATATCTCTTAATATATTTTTTGACGATATATTTCCGACGTATATCGGGATATAATTGACAGATATTTTTTCCGTGTCGGTATTAAATAAATTTTATTTAATTCAATTTATTTATTTAACAATCGAATGACAATCGAAAAATCGGATGAACATTTTGTGGAGAATTTGGCGCGTCCATTGCAATTGTTTATATATATTTCTGTATATTTAGGTATACCTAAACCTAACCTTTGATATATTTATTTATATGAAAATATATTAAATTAATCCGACGAGCTGAAGATTGTGATAGTATTTTAGGAATAAGATCGCAATAGATTCCGGAGAGATTTCGTTGCGTGAATTTTTTTTGTTAAAGGCAGAAATAAAATATTGTTTATAACTTTTTTTTTTTGCACTTTTGGGGATTAGAAAGTGGATGAAATTGGAATTGATTTTTCATTTCTCGGGAGATGGGCTGAGAACAAAGGGCGTTCGATTCCGCGCACTTCAGAGGAGTTTTAAGACGCGAAAGAATTTTTTTTTCGAATAAAGGTCCATAAAAGGATTACGACCCTTTTACCAGGTTGAATTTATTTTCAAAATGTGGTGATTAAGTTTTTAAAATATCTTCAAAATTGAGGCAAGGGGATTTTTTGAGTCTTGGCGGAATTTGTGGATGAACAAATCGTTTTTTAGTGAATGTTCAAATGGATTTATGAGCGATAATTCCATTCGGCACTTTTCAAATTCAGGAGAAAATATGTGCGGGTTTAAAACTGTGAGAATAAACATGGCGAATGCTCTCCGACCTCGCCGTTCTCATTTGCATACGCCAATACTTTCAAATAACAATTCTTTCCTCCATTTTCTTCTACGGTATCACGAAAATTCCGCGTTTATCGCTAAAAACTCGTGGAAAATCATTTTAACATTCGATTTTTAGCATGAGAATATCTCTGAACAGACCATCGATTAATCGATCTTTCCCGAGTGGTCGAAATTAATTATTTAAATAATTTATCTTTTTATTCTAAACTCGAAAAAAATGAAAAAGTCAATATATTGAGTCGCGGAAATCCTCAAGTGTCTTTTCCCTACTTTTCAAGTCTTACAAAGGGAATTGTTAATGCAATTTAATTATTTACTCCTCCTAAGCCTTGAAGAAAAATTTACAAGAAACTAAACAATCCCCTGAAACAATCCCTCAATAATTACGAAGTCCAATTTTCTGTAGCTAAATCTTGAAAAGTTTCGATAATAAAAAAAATCTCTGTTAGGATTTTCACGGAGATTTTCAGCGTCTAGTATTGTTCCTCCAAATTAAAAAAAAATATGGCAAACTCCAAAATTCCCCTTCGTTAATAAATAAATTATAAATTCCCCATAACAAATCCCCAAAAACTCTCAAACCTCTCCAGTCCTTCTCCCATCCAAAAAAAATCATGTTTGCCTCCAAAAAAAAAATCTCTCCCACCCGAATTCCGCTCCAAAATTCCTTTCAAACAATAATTCAAACAAAAATAATCCCCAACCATCCCCCGCACTGAAAAATCCCCGAAATCACCCCTAAACTCCAAAAAAAATTCCTCACCCTTTTCCCAAAAATTCGCACATCAACTCCATCCTCAAAAAAACTCCAAAAATCCCCATTTCACCCCATCGACACACCAAAAAATCCCCAAAAAAATCCAGCCCCACGTCTCCTCTTCAACCCCACCCCCGACCCCCCTGACAAAAATTCCCCGCCAAAAAAATCCTGGAAAATGGAGCCCATCACATTTTATCTCACCGTTCCGAATGTATTTTTTAATTATTGATTTTAATGACGAGGGGGGAAAAATACCAGTGGCACAACGCCATCTTGGATGCTGGGCGGAGTATAAGAAGCGGCCCCTACTTCTCTCTTTTCTCCTCTCTCATTTCATTTTCCCCCCCAAATCGTCTCACTCTTTCTTTGCCGCCAAGTTATAAACCTCTCTTTTCTCTTCCACCAACACCCCCTTACCCCCCCATTCCACCCCCCTCTGCCCACTGGTCCCCCTCTCAACACCATCCCCCTCGTTCCCCCTACCCCTCTCGCTCATTCTCCCCCTTTTTTCCCTTCCGCTCGCGTTGTCGTCGTTCACCGACGCTTTTCCTTCTTTGCACGGCCCCCACGTTACCCTCCTACCGCACAT